CACGTGACAAATCACCGCGACTGGAAACCCTTTCTGGTAATAACGGTACACGGTTATTTATTAAAGGAAGAAGTGAAGGAATTGTGAAAAAAGCTTATTTATTTTAGTATTGGCCACGCCATATTCTTCCAATTGTTTATCCGCCTTGTCCTATAATCTTGCTATTGATAGTTTCGAACGAACCCAACAGCGAGAAAAACTATGTTATAGATTTTGATGGCCGCAGAATTCGTAAACATAACTATAAAAAATCATCATGCTATAAATTTATATGGAAGAAAGATAAATAAAAAATTGTTTCTCGTTAAATCATCCGTGCGACTTCGTGAAGTTCACCTATTTACACTATATCAATGTAACATAAAATTGTCATTAACAACGCTATAATAACATATCACGACTGTAGATAACGTGCTAACATTTTTTTTTTGGTATGGTCTGTGATCACATGAAAAATAATAACGAAGGAATTAAGTTTCAATAAATAAAATCGGTAATTTTCTTTGTAAATCTAATAAAAATAATTAACTTGATACGCATTTATGGTAATTTCGGAGTGAACATCCATTTCACAAAAATAGAGCGATGTTGTTTTGGTTTCACGATGACTGTAAGTACGTTCTATGCTGAAAGTTACCCTGTTTAGGAACAATAACGGTTCTTTTTAAAAGCACAACACTGAAATGACTCGTGAATAATTTTGACTCTCTAGAAAAATGTTTTCTACATTGAAACGAACAAGTTCCATAAAGGACTTTGCATTTTATTCTTTACCAAGAGCTACACCATACAAAATTTCATTAGTATCTCTCGATTGGATACGTAAAAAAGATCCCCCTATTGCGTTAGGACACGCGTGCATTAAAGCGGCGTTACGTCAATCATTCAGACAGTCTCAACTTATGGTTAACGACCATACGGTAAACCTCTTCCAGAACACTTATCCTTTCGATAAACTATGTACAACAAACAAACTACTTGTACATAGAGCCCTATACAGTAAAATTAAATATAGTGGATTTTCTTTCTTCAAAATAATTGCCCGAATAAGGCATATATCGATTCCTAAAGATACGAAGAAGCACATGCATTAGAG